GACTTGTTGTCTGCTGCTGTGTATTACTGGAAGAACCCTTGGAGTTAGAGGACTTATATTTCGTATGGATTGTTGTTTTTCTATTTGCATCGCCCTTTGATGTTCCATAGAAACTGTTACAGGATCAAACATATTCGGTATGTCCTGTATTAAGGACGAAGACCACACATATATCGCGACACAAACTATTCTTCCATTTCCATTACCTCGTTCCTTGTAATCAACATATAAAACTCCGTTGTATAGTCATCAACTGTCTTCATGCGTTGAAGCAAATTCTACAATCGCTGATACATGATCCGAACATAATTATAGGGCAGAAATTGCTTCTTTAATTTATCCTAAGATGCAATCTTGGCCTTCCCTAATCTGGATCTCATCACCTTTGTCTACTGCCACTACGCCGCTACTCGTCCACGAAATCTCGTCTCAACAAGAGGCACACATTTACCAACAGGAACCTCTTCCACTACAGTCACCCAGTCCAAGAATTCTTCTAAACTTAATCCACTATGGAATTCAAGAATATCAACCTTAAACCCTGATTCAGAGTGCATGTTCTCCTCTTTGCCACCCCATCTCCGTCGGGCTGGCTGATCTATTAGATGATCAAGTGGTGCAAACAGATTTTTATCTTCAAAATCCTCAAACGGCTAGGCCACAGGCGCATGTTGCTGTGGAGAAAGTGCAGCAATTTGTTGGGTCTACGGTTCCCTTTGTTGGCATAGTTGTGCGATCTAATCATGTCTATTCACATCTTCTACTTGGGATTCAAGGGCTTCTAGATGTCTCCTTGACAGTATGGTGAATGAAAGAACCGACTCTGATATCAACTGACGTAGCGAAAGCTCATAGGAAAGATGAAAATCTCACAAAGAATTTCAATGAATAGAAACTCCAGAAAATTTTATTTCATTCAACCAATATGGACTCAAAGGGTTTACAATGCTTTATATAGCAAAAAAAATCTAAGAAAAAAATTTTGCATAATAATAAAAAAGATATTTTTCAAAAAAATGGAAAAAATCGAGATAATGACAGAATTTGAAAGTCCTATTCGTCATGATCATCCCCCAAAAAAGGAAATTCAAATCTGAATTTATTTTATTGAGATATACCTAAAACAAAAATTACCAAAAAAAGGAAAAAATACATAAACGAAAACCTAAACGAAGGAATTTGCCTGAAATTGGCCCTATGTCAGGGGCTGAGTTTTGTTTATTGGCCCATTTCCATTCAAAGTTGACTAAAATCTCACAAAAAAGGGACAACCCCAAAATTTATCCAAAAATCGGGAAATTGCCTATTTCTGTTTGCACCGGTCCTAGTTTACCATAAAGTCTAATTCCTTCTACACCACATCAAGCTATTTGCACTTTGATCCCTGAACTTTGGTTTTCTTCTATTTTAGTCCTTTTTCACATTTTTTTCCTAAATTCCACCATGTACATCAATGTTATCCTACAAAACATAATTTATGTAGAATTAAGCCGTATTGATATAGTTACCAACAATCATCCATGTTTTGTGACCTATATAGGTGTGTAAAACGCACTTATTATTTAGCGTAAAAAGGTCATAATGTCTAGCACACATCATTAAAAGAAAAGGAAACATCATTATCCATTTGGTGTTAAATGTTCTTCACGCTATTCATTCGACTTACATTTTTTGTGTACTTCTCATATTCATGTTTTTTTATCTGAAATTGTAGGTACAATGACATTCAAATGGAAAGTAGCCGAAACAATGGAGAATGAAATGAAATGATTCAAACTCTTGTCTTCCCCAACTGACACACCTCATGGCAAGCCTTTACATTCTTGGGCATTTTTATTTTCAATGGTTTGTGCCTTTAATCGTAGACAATGTGTAGTTAAGTTTGGGGATGGTTATTATTGAAAATATCTTATATATGATGATCGATATTATGTGATTATATGCATGTACGTTCGCATGTTATGTATATGAAAAAAATTAAAATTAAAATTAAATTATTTTATTGCTTTATTATATGCTTGTTGATTTTCACAAACTTGTTGCTAATGATGATATTATTGCAATTACTTGTGATTGATAAAATACTAATAGATTATGAGACTTACATTATTTTAGAACTTATTCTTGTTGGATATGATATCTTTTGAGCATAATAGACATTTCTAATCACATTGTGTCTTTGAAGTGGTTAATTGAATAGAATAAATTGAAAAAGCTTGAATGTAGGATGTTCGAAACTTGAATCATATGAACAGTTTTAAGACCATTAGAAAGGATGGTTTAGGTATGGTTAAATCTACGTAAGAAGATACTTAGGTAGGTGTTGATGTTGTGCATGAAAACAATTGAGGTGTTTTTGGCTAAAATATAGAACATGGATAGGAATAATTCATGAGAAGTCTAATTCACATTATTTGTCCCAACAAAGGCATTGAACTGGTCAAGAAAGATTGAGGTAAAAGTGTATGAAGAGGCAGCCTTCATTAAATAACTAAAATAAATCAAAAATGGGCATTGAGCGGTGCTACCTACCTAGAGTGGAGAGATGAAACAATAGGAAAAAGTGGCATATAATTGACATTATCATGACTAAGAAAAATGGCTACCTACAAGTGCGATGAAAATTAGAAACATCAAAAGAAAAAGAGTGAAAAAAGAGTCATGTGAAATAAGGGGAAAAAAAAAGTCATATGCATACTTGTCTATGTGAGGATATAAGCAGTGACAAAAGTCAAAATGATGCACTTTCTGATTAAGCCTTCGATACTTAACTTGGGAACTTATATTTTGTTAGGTTTTAAGTTGTATTGGCTATTTTTTAGACAAAAGAATTATTATAAAAGAGTTGTAAAAGTGAATGAGTCTTTTGGGATGTTGTATAAATGAATTAGAAGTCTTTGGGTTTGAATATGGAACATAGAGAAAGAGTCGTTGGAATTGTGCTTGCGTGTTGCCAAGCTGATGGTCGAGCATCCAAAATAGAATCATTCTAAAACGTAAAGTGTAGTTGTTGGCCATTGATGAGTGTGTTTAACTCGTGCATTTCGTATCATTTTAACTTGATAATTTGTTAGATCTTATGAGTTTCAAAGTGTTCTGATGCGTGTTTTAAGGTTGTTTTATATGTTAGGTGAATTGGTGTAAATGGTGCAAAAGCTGGAGAAAATTGAGTAATTGAACAACAAACGGGGCACCCATGCGCCAACCAAAGCAGAAATTGAAACAGAAGTATGGCTCCTAAGTGCAGCGATAAGCCAGAAGAAGCATAAGATTAACAGTGCTGTGGCGCCTAGAAGCCACCCCTTCAGCACCTAGGCGTTGCACCGTATTTGCTAGGGTTTGAAATTCTTGGCCCGTTCATAACCCAAACGACTCCAAATTCGAGACAAACATTAGAGAGGCATAAATACTTGTGGATAGTGAATTTTGAAGAGGTTACATAACCACTACAGCAAAAATGCTCTTTTGCAACACTAGAAAGGCAACATTTATTAATTAAGTGTTGCTAAAGGGGTTTATGACAACATTCTAACAAGTAAATATTGTGATTGGTTAAATTTATTGAGCTTTAGCAACATTTTTTCAATGAATGTTGCAAATGTCACTTTTTACAATGTTCTTTAAATATTGCGAAAATTTTTCTTTCTTGCAAAGTTCGCTAACCGTTGTTAAAATATAATTTTATAGCAACATTCAGCGCCTATTGCTGAAACCTTAATATATGGCATTTTGCGACGTTTATTGACTGTTGCGAAAAGTTTCATCTTTGCAACGTTTTACCTTTTGCAACATGTATCAAACGATGTTAAAAATGATCCAATCCAAACTAAATGAAACACTCATCAGAATCAAATTAGTTTTGACATTAGCCCTAATTTTTCCTTCTCTCGTCTTCGCCTCTTGCTCTTCTCTCATCACTTCCTCTCTTAAATACTCCTTTCCCTTTCCCACAATAAAGCCACCACCTCAACATTTGGGAATGGATTTATTATCCAAATCACCACCACAAAATATTATAAGCATCACAAGAAGAGGTTTATGTGTGAAAATAAGAACAGGAGCCGAAAGCGAGAGCATAATAATGTAGAAATTGAGTATCAAAGTTGTCAATAACCCTCTTGAATCCAAGCTCTCTGGGCTTGATGTCCGATCTTGGCCCAAGTAACTGCCTTCTTTCCCTCAATTTTTTGAAATCAAAGCAGCTTGAGCCATTGATTCTTTTCCTTTTTTCGTTAATCTATTTGTTAATGGTTTAATTTTGTGAAATATTAGTTGACTTATGAAAACTTTCTCCTTTTTCTCGGCAGCGTAGTGTGAGTGCAAAGTTGTACGACTTCATTTCTTGGCTCAACGAAGCGCCTGTTGGAGAGTTGCAGGTTCACCTGGAACTGGTTTTACCCATTTTAATGTTGTTTCAATTTGAAACCTTTTTTTAATCTATTTACTTATTTAGCCTTTTTTAACCACTGTCTCAATCAATTCCTATCAGACACTTTTCTTTTTCTGAGTAATGCCCAGACTTATTGCTTATGTATATTGTACTCTTCCATTAGCTAGATTGATAAATTTCAAATGATTTTATTTTGTTTGGTAATTATTATGTTCTTGTTATGCCATTTGCTCTCATGCAAGTAGAGGAAGTTGATTGTGAGGAGAAGAAATTGATTTTGTGAATAGTGAGGATATTTTTATTTATACTGCAAACACATTTAGCTAGGTTTTTCGTTACAAATCTTAATTAGAAACAGCAAATCTTTACCTTCTACAGTTTGAAACCATGTACATTTTTATTTCTAGTTTGCAATATATTTTTCTCCTTAGACGATTATATGTATCTCGTGTTTATGTCAAGTCATGATTCGAGCTATGTCCTGCCTACCCCTATAGAGTATCTAGCTATGTCTTGTCTGCACACAAGGGTATGAGGTTTATCCTTTTGCTCCAGTTCTGGTTTAACTAACTATTATTCATTTGGATATGACCCTGTTGATTTGAGCTTGATGCCTGTACGTAGGAGAGAAAAGAGTTCATTTGGATATGACCCTGCTCTTGATTATGAAATGCAGGTTTACGGTGAAGGTGGAGATTCTAGTTTAAAGGAGAATAGGGAAAAAGAAGTAACCGACGTCAAGGGACGGTCAATGAAATCTGAGAAGGATAAGAGGTCAAAGGTTCCTTTGGATTCCTCAGATAAGGAAAGAACTGGACGACCTATAAGGAAGGGGAAATTACCAAAGAAAAGTACTTTAGAGGATGCACGTGCACGTGCGGAGAGGTTAAGATTCTACAAAGCTGATCTCCAGAAAATTAAGAAAGAGAATGTACATCTAGCCTCTTGTTTGTTTGATACTCTTAAGCGCACATGACTAAGTAGATGTAGTAGAGATGCTTTGCAATAACAAACATGACTAAGTAGACTGGACCCTCATCAAAGATATTACTTTCCTTATCTGTACTTCTTTCAGGATTAGTCACCAAATACCAGACATGTCATGTTTAAGTATTTGTGGTGTGGATTCCTTTTAACTCCTATAAACTTCCATATTCTTAAGCTCAATTCTTCACAGGAAGGGGCAGACCAAAAGTGCCTTGAAGCATTAAAGCTAGAGAGGCAAAAGAGAATTGCAGTGAGAGACTGCTCCACATCTGCGAAGTTATCAGTACTCTCACCGCAAACAAAGACATTTCCTACGAAACTTCTCCAATTGCTAGTTCAGTGATTCAGAACCTTGCTTATCATCACCCTTGCAGAGATCCAAAGTCAGAACTTCGCTTGGATCCAGCGAGTCACCTTTAAATGTAGGCCATAACAAATCGACAGTAAAGGGAACACATAAATTGAATGGAATAAAGCCTACTGGATCTTCTGAAAATGTTGAAGTATCTTTGGAAAGAAGAATAATTCTTCAGCTGCAGTAGATTGAAGTGTTGAATTAGACAGCACAAGTTTTGAGCAGGATGATATTGGAGGGTGTACTGCTTCTTGGCGTGAAGGTGATGCCCATTTATCTACCTTTTCATTCCAATAAAATTTTTGATGCATGGTTCTGCATGATCTCAAACAATTACCTCATTTAATTAAGCATAAGAAAAGTTTTTTAGTGTTGTAAAGATGGTATGCATTTAATCTTAAGCATTAGTTGCACCAAATTGCTTTTTTCCAAATGCCTCAATCCAATATTGTATGTCTCATTATTCTGATGATAAATTATTATTTCAACAATTAGTTCTTCATGATAAAACCATCAAGATATCACCTTAGTTTTAGTTCACCCTTCCCAATCATCTTCCAAGACAAGAGGTCCTGAAAATATCAAGTATCAGATAAGAAGATAAGACAGCAATGCATCTGCTGTGTCAGTTTCTTTTAACAGATAGTAAATTGAAATGGAAATTAGGGACACATAGCACATCATTTAAAATTAGTGAATCAGTAAGCTTAACAATTCCAGAGTGTGTAGCTGGTACAATTTCGCCAGTAGGTAACTTAACTGATAGGCATGTTTTCGACTTAATGGAGGTATAAAAATTGGTGTTACAGATCATGTGATCTGTTGCACCTGTATCAATTATCCATGGAGTGTTTATGGAATCATGAATATGTGTGGGTTGAGCAAATAAACAAACGGCTTTACCAGATAGATCAGATGGTTTGATTTTGGAATGATAAATAGTCTGTACATGACTGGCAGAGTGATTTGCTTGCGAATTATCCTTAGATCGAAGCAAGGCAAGGAATTCTTCATATTGCCCCTTAGTTAGGGAGACTGGCCTTTCATTTTCTTCCTGCACTATACTGGACTGGTTGGCAAAGGGTCCTTCTCTCCTCTGAGTTCTGTATAGTTTATGGTTTGGAGGGTAGCCATTAAGTTTGAAACATTTTTCCATAGAATGCCCCATCATATTGCAATGCGTACACAGAAGAGCTTCAGTATTGCCTTCCTTGAAACATTTGTCCAAGGTGTGTCCTGGGATATTACAAAAGGAACAATATGGTTTGTCCTTCCTTCCAGCTACATTAGATCTTCCATAGTTGAGTGATCTGTTACTTCCACGAAATTTCTTGGTTGCCATTGCAATGGATTCGCTGTTAATGGCAGTAGAAGTGAGCTGCTTCTGCCTCTACTGCTGTTGAATGTAGGAGAATACTTTGTTAACTGGAGGAAGGGGATCCAACATCATGACTTGAGCTCTGGTGTTATCATAAGCCTCATTTAAACCCATCAAAAACTTTATCACACAGTCACGCTGGTGTCTATCTACCAACACTTTTAATTGTCCACAATTACAATCTGGAAATGGATCATATATGGATAGCTCATCCCAGATTGTTTTAAGCTTTCCATAGTAAACGCTTACAGAATCACTTTCCCGTTCCAGATCAGCTAATACTTTCTTTAGCTCATATATTCTGGGACCATTTTGCTGGGAAAATCTATCTTTAAGTTCTGACCATATTTCATTAGCTTCATCCATGAAAGCCACACTGGATCTGAGTGAAGGAGATATAGCATTTTGGATCCATGATACTACCTTGTCATTGCATCTTCCCCATGGATCAAAAGCATCATTGGTCAGCCCAGGTTTAGGCAATGTTCCATTGATGAAACCGAGCTTGTTTTTAGCTCGGAGAGCTCGCCGAAGTGCCCTTGACCAGGTAGGATAGTTGTCTGTTGTTAATAATTATGTGACTAAGATGGCTCCTGGGTTGTCTGAGATCTCCAACTTGTATTGCTCAGGAAACTTAGAAGCAGGGAGAGGAGCCGTGTTTTCTCCATCAGCAGAATTCATATCAGCAATGGTTGTCATTGCTCTGATACCATGTAAGAATTTAAAATAGAAATGGTGATGAAGAACACTGATAATTAGATTGAATCAGTGAATCATTTCATATTCCAAACGTTAGATACAAGAGGCCAATATATAGACTATACAAGAGGGTAAAAAAGGCAAAGGATCACCCTAACAAACTACATAACAAGAAAGGAATATTGTTCTACCTAACCATGTGCAATCTACAGCTGGGAGGACACCTGGATTCGATAAGCATACTGCCTTATGATGTATGTACATATCAAGTTGGTAGTTTACTCCATTGCTCACGGTAGAAGGCGTTTGGCTGATAAGTGGAGTGCTCATAAGTGTTCTCTATTTTCTCTATTTTAACATAGATTTTAGTTCTAAAAGTCTTCTATAGAGCCTGTTTGGTGCACATTAAAATGAGAGAGTGCATTTTTTTGAAGTGATGCGATGGAAAATATGTGGTTGAAAAAGAAAGAAAAGTTATTGATATGATGTAAAATATTATTTTATTGATGAATGTGTAGTTGAAAATGAGTATAAAAATGAGAATGAAAAAATAATGTGGCTCAAACAGGGGCATAATATTTCATTTTCTTCAAAGTAGGGTACTGTTGAGATTCTAGGATAAACAAATTCTGCAAGTTAATATAAAAGATAATAAATTTTTTGATATTCTTTTAATTTACATGTTAATTATACCTTTATTATTTTTGTGATATATAGGGAGGTATATTATTTTTGGGATAGCAAAATTGTTGGTCACAGAAGCAAACTTGGGTATGGATCGAATATTTTGTAATGTTTTAAATTTTTTTTTTTAAATAGTAGTCTATATTTTTCACATATTGCTATATAAGTTTTTGAGTAGGTTAATGCTGTTAGCATTATTTAGATGAACTCTACATTTTGACATATTGTATTTAATCATATTCACTATTTTTGTTTATGAGAATTATGTAAAATCTGATTACATATAATTATTGTGTACTATTTTGTTTTGTAATTACTTTGGGTTTGTTGGTAATCAAATAAATAAATATTATTAAAAAACTAAATTAATTATGCAAAATTTTTAAAAATATGGAAAATGACTTACACAAAGGTAAAAAAATGTTGCAAAAAAATAAGTATATAAGTAGACAACATGCAAAAAAGTTGCACAGGTTATTCACAACAGTTAAAAAACGTTGCAAAAAGGATATTGATAACACTCAAAAAACAATACAAAAAAGGTTGTTGGCAACATTCAAAAAATATTGCTAAAATGTTATTAACAACATTCAAAAAAACATTGCAAAAAAGTTATTAGTAACGTTCAGAAAATTAGTTAACAACATTTAAAGACGTCGTATCGTACTACTCTACGACAACATCAAGGTTTGGAGAGAGAAAATACATCGAAAAAGAACAAGAAATCAAGACAAGGGTTGAATTGGAAGAACAAGATTACTGTGGTGCAAGATTCATCAACTTATCTACATCTTAATTCAAAGTGCTCAATTATTATTCTTCGTTTTTTTTCATCCATTATGAGTAGTTTAACTTTATATTAGGGTGAACAATGTAGTTTGTTGTGACCCTTTAATTCAATTTTCACAATTATAATTCATTAAAAAATTATTATTTTTTGTGTGACTTTATTTATGGAGTTCAATGCTTGAATTTCGCGGCCAATAATTCAATGATTTTGTGTATCTATTACGAGTCGAGTGGTGAGTTTTGGGTTTAGACCACATAGTAAAATTCGGGAACTAGTATAAAAGCGTAGAGATACCTTTTCCAATTAAAAATAAATAAATAAAAATCAACTACTATGAAAAAGTAAACTAAAATAGAATTGAACTACTCCCCTTTCAAAGTTTTATGTTTTCTTCCTCATTTTTGCGAGGGTTTTATAAATAATCCACAAATACTGTGGTTCATTTAAAAATAAACATAAGAGTTCCATTTATTAAGTACTAGTCAAATGCCCGTGCAATGCACGGGCTGTGTCCCTTTTGAGGCAATATTATTGTGTCGATTGTTCAAGATTGAAAGCAGATATGTGCTGTGGTTTAGATTGGAAAAATGCATCGGTTGAATTATGATAAAGGACTAAACATTTAAACCTTCTAAGTACAGATAATGATTTCAATTATTTGTTCAAGTTCGAAGGGACCATTTTGTCATTTATTATTTAGCTATATAGTAACCCTTTCCAGTTAGTTAAAATAAATGACTATATGCGTGATATGTTTCAGCAGCTTGTGTATCCCAAGTCCTCAACCTTCACTTGTTCAAAATTGAATCTAACCCACCTTCTCAATTGAGTATCAAATGCTAGATGCAAGAAAACAAAAAGGATACAAGAGATGCAGAATACAATTAGGCAGCATTGCTAGTTTATACATCTAGATTATAACCATTTATGTTCACCTTAATTGTCCCATAGCTTCTTGTATAGGAGAATTACTCAGAACCTTGAGAAGTACTCAAAATGGAAAAAAAAATTATCTGCACAGAAAATTTCATCATGCCCATTCCACTGTTATGATTTCATCACATTTTGCATGACTTGTACACCACCATGGAAAATAAAAGCACGCCGAAAATCGAGTATAAGTAATCTGATGAATGCATACAATCCAAGAATAATCTTTATGTAAAAACTGGCAGTCAATAGATACAAACTCTGTTTCTTTATCATTATTCTAACTGAATACAATCTAACTACTCAAATTAATTCAAAAAATTTTGGCATATGAAATACAATCACCCGACAAACAAAGCAATCAAGTTTCTATCCACATCACCTTCGCTGCAAATACAACTGATTGACCTAAGTGGGATCAGAAGTCATGTTGATGTTCGGCTGCATGTGTAGAATTTCTATCAGAATTTTATAGCAATCAGTAATGGAGAATCACAATTTAGGTAAAAGGAAGCAAAGAAAAACAAAAATAAAAAGAGAATTACAGCGGGAGCTTCTTCAATTATTTTCTGATATCTTCTCCGGACACTGGAATCTCTCTCATTAAGATGTATTACATTACCGAATTTGTCCCCAAAGATCTACAAATTATAGTTCAGATAAACACAAGTTCAGAGTCACATGTTCCGAATTGCTTTAATTATGATCTTGTTTGTAGGTGAATTTTGGGAGCATGAAGTAGAAGAAATTTATGAATTATATTTAGCTCCTGTTTGAGACCCATTTTTCAAAAATCTATTTTTCTCCAATCTGATTTTTAACCACACATTCTCCAATAAAATAATTTTACATATAAACCCAGAACTTTTCACTACTTTTTAACTACACATTCTCTATAAAATGACTATTAGAAAATATATTTTTCACAAAAAAAAGGGGCTCAAACAAGGGCTTATATTAAATCGGTTGTGATGGATAAATACACAGTCAATAGCGTAAAAAAGTTGACGAAACCAAATAAGTATACCTGGACTTCTATGTGACTTGGTTTTGTAATATATTTTTCCAGCAAAATTGTGTTTATGCCAAAAGATGCAGCAGCCTCATGTTGTGCTCCCAAGAATGAATCAACAAAATCATTAGGACCTTGAACAATTCTCATTCCCTGAAAGTGGCAAAAAATAAACCCCAGATAAATTATGGTTCCAACCCCCATCCATGATCATGTCATTGTATTGATGATCAGTGATAGTTGGTCTCCAACTAAGAATAAGTAAACAGAAATGCCTTAAGGTAAATGCTAAATGATGAACTTGATATCACAACTCACATGGTAAGATTCAAAACTGTGCATAGCAGGGAAATTTAAGCCTGAAAACAGCAATATAAGAAGTGCTCCGAAGCAGACTCTAACCATCCAAACAGTTGCACACCTACCAATTTTGACTGGAATGTTGCATATAGTACCAAATTTTATTACATCTTAGTATTCCAGTTCCATCATGTCTCTCTTGCCATTTTAGCAAAAGAAAAAAAAAAGGCAACAAAAAAATTGACATAACAAACACCTAAAATTGAAAGCTAAAATTATCCAAAATCTACAAATAGAAAAGTTTCTTTATAAAATAAGATTACCCTACATGAAAGCAAATATGAAATATTACCAGTGTTTCAATTCTATACTACGCCATAGGTCTGATCCGAATCAAGGCTTCTTCACCTTATTTTTCTCCACAAACACTATAATTATAATATTACCGTATACCTGTGCGCGCGTAGATGATTGAGAGTAAAAAAAATTACCTCGGGACTCTTGGTGATGAAGATAAACCGTACAATAAAAAATTACTGCCTTTGGAATTTAAGCTATAGCAGTAGATCGTTGAAGTTATGCATTTGAATGCAAATAAGTTTTTTTAAGATTAGGAAACTTAAAACAATTCCTTTCAAGTTGAACTTATTCTCTTTCAACAAAAGTAGTAATAAAATATGGAAAATATGAAAGATATGGAAAATAACTAATAATTAGAAGCAAAAATTCTGGTTGATTAAATAGACCCCCACAGCAACAAAGCCAAATTTGATGTTTCCAGTTTTGAAGTGCTAAGAAAAAAAATTCACTTGCTTTAAAAGCAAATTCATGAATATATTCACACATGTACATCTTTCTATACAAATGACTTAGCCAAAAAGGACTCAAGTTGCTCATTGAAAATTACAAAGCTAAATTAGTGTGCCAGAAAAAACCATTATCACAGTATGATGGAGTGATTATAAGAGCTAAGAAAAGCTAAATGAGTGAAATACCTAACAGCAACAATTTTCAGTGAATTAAACGTTTGTCCAACCGGCAATGTTTGGTCTGTCTCAATCTTCATCATTGAAGGTTTTATATGAATATTTCCTGGTTGAAGCTGCAGTAATTGAGTATTAAAAATGTTAGAAGAGCAAGAAAGTGTACTTACAGCTCATAAAAAAAATGAAGTCACTTCGTAAAATCCTATGCGAAGCAAACTCTGCATTATGAAGAGTTCGTGTGCGGAGCGAACTCCGCATTATGGGGAGATCCTGTGCGGTACTCCGCATAATGCGAAGTTTGCTTCACACACTACTCCGCATAATACAAAGCTTGTACTTGAATTTTTATTTTCACTTCATACATAAATAGAATTACAATTTATTCCTTGCCCTCCTCCTCCATCTAGTGAAAAGAATCCATCCATTTTACAAAGTTTGAGAATTATGAGAGACAGGAAGAAGGCAGCCACAATTTCAAAGGGAGAAAAAAAATGACTCAGTTGGAAGACTCCAACTCCGCATAATGTAGAGTTCATGGTTCATATCTCCAAATTCTATGGAGATGTCTCCATAGAATTTGGAGACACAGCACTTCGGCTCTATTTGTAGGTAGTCACCAATTCAAAGAAAGGAGAAAATGGGCTCAATTGGACGACTCCAACTCCGCATAATGCGGAGTTGATTGCTGAAATTAAGCAACAACCTTTCAATTCAATTAGCAATTATGATTAAAATTTAACCGTTTAAGACTATATAATGATCTACATAAGTACAATAAAGCCAGAAATAACGTTCACCAGCATTGATCAATGTCCAAGCAAGAATATCAAAATGTGGTTCCCAGAAAAATAATCAAATGAGATTCAATATGAACTCTGAAACCGCAAGGATATTGAAAAGAAAATGTAAATAATTACCTGATTCACATAATCTAACAGTATAAAAATTGCCGCAAGATTGAATTACACTTAGCCCAACCTGAGGAGCAAATCTAAGGTTTTCCATAACCAAGAAAAAAAACCTCAAATTTTGTACCTGAATCTGACTTCGAAAGCTTCCAGTAATCTCCAAACACTCAATCTTTTCTTCATTCTGAATATCAAAGGTAAGATCAATTTCCAAATACGTGATCCTACACATTTATGGTTTAGACAAATATATCACAATGTAGGCAACCTAATGTCCTTAAATTTGAGGTTTAAAATATGATATATTGGAGGATAACTGGAAATAGAAAACATAGCCATTCGAGAAATAATGAACTAAAGTTGTCAATTGCCCGCATGACAGGTTGCTCTTTAAACCAGGCAAGTCTGCAGACTCTTTAAGGCAATCAAAGCTATCACTTAACAAATCTTCACCCAACGGTATATTAACAGAACGGATAATTAATATAACAGATAATATACTGTATACGGTAAAGCCAAAATGTCAATTCACTTTCCTTTTTGCTTTCTTTTGAGAGGGGTGGGTTTTGTATTTCTTCCTTTATACTTTTTATTGGAGATAGGGGAAGGCGAACCACGAAAAGGGGGTCCCGCTGAGAAGGAAGAAATTATAACTTACCTCTTTTGTACGGGCCACAAAATTGCTACTCAAATACGATGGTGTTATCTGCAGTTCTCTCTCAATGTGTGATGCAGCGGCTAAAGCAATTGCTTCATCTGGTAGTTGATTCATTGCAGACAAAAGTCCTGCAGGATGAGTGAACTTCTAAATCTTCCACGTTTCAGTTCAAAACTTTTAATGTCACCGATAACGTTTGTAATTACTAATTTTTTTGCATAAAAAATACAAGTTACACGATACTAAAGAACTTCCAAAATTTGAGCCCAATCCAGTGGACATCATCCCCAAGCAAACTTTTACCAACGTGAAAGCCACAACTCATGATTATTAATAAAGCAGCAGTACCTAAAGGTAAAAGACAGAATATAACCAAAATTAAAGACATAATCACCAAAATTTAGAACCTCGAGAGCAGCATGAAGACATTGAGCATGACTAAGCCATTGTCTGTAAGCTTTTCGAGCAACAAAGACAAGAATAGCTGGTATATCAGTCATCGCACCCTGCCTGATCCGGCAACCAATTGCAGTGCCAAGACTGCAGCACCGCAAAAATTTGCTGTGAAATGCCCTTATTATCATCAGTTCAAGTAAGGTTGTAGCTTGCTGTCCTGATGGTGGTCGTCCAATAGTTTCAGGTAAAACCCCTTTCTGAAGATTTCCAAAGTAATGTGCCCTATCTTCAGCAGTATCTGTTACCTGGCTGGAAGTAGGCCATGAAAAATAAGCAGCATTGCTGTCGACCTGACCACCTGATGCAAAGGCTTATAATGGAACCGGACTTGAAAAAGGCAGATTGAGATTCTGGCAGTAATCTCGATCCAAATACAAAGCTGATTCCTCTGATTGTGCAAAACCGAAGTTATGGGCTCTTAAATCAACTCTAGCCTATTCCATTTCAGTTTTCCTGCAAGTTTTATCTTAAATATAACATGTATTTTCCTTGAAAACTCAAAGAGGAAAATGCTTGAACTTAAATGGGATACTTGATAAAGCTTAATTGAGTTCAGTTCTGTAACGCCCCAAAATTTCACGCATCTTGAGGTGTTACCAAAATAATTTTCATATACTTAAATGCGGAACTGTAAAATTATATTTTTCTAAACAAACAGAACATTCATAACTTTAAATATGAATCATAAAATCGTGTCTTCGAAAACAATTCGAACATTCTCCAACTAAATAATTTGCTAATAATGTTATTGGACAAAACGAACTAATAAACTTTAAATGGAAAGAAGCAAAACTTAATATTATTCTTGTAGGTGGAAATCCATTGGCACTCCGCCGTACCATCCCGCCACAGATCCAATCGACCCGAACTAGCCTGTAAAATTTGT